CATTCCTCCATGCAGATCTCCTCTTTAGCAGTGATGTTTTGGGGCTGTCGCTGGGCAACACGGACTTTCAACTCCCTCCAAAGGCTTTCTATGGGGTTGAGATCTGGAGACTGGCTAGGCCACTCCAGGACCTTGAAATGCTTCTTACGAAGCCACTCCTTGCCCAGGCAGTATGTTTGGGATCATTGTCATGTTGGAAGACCCAGCCACGTTTCATCTTCAATGCCCTTGCTGATGGAAGGAGGTTTGCACTCAAAATCTCACGACACATGGCCCCATTCATTCTGTCCTGTACATGGATCAGTCGTCCTGGTCCCTTTGCGGAGAAACAGCCCCAAAGCATGATATTGCCACCCCCATGCTTCACCGTAGGTATGGTGTTCTTTGGATGCAACTCAACATTCTCTCTCCTCCAAACACGACGAGTTATGTTTCTACCAAACAGTTCTATTTTGGTTTCATCTGACCATATGACATTCTCCCAATCCTCTTCTGGATCATCCAAATGCTCTCTAGCAAACTTCAGACGGGCCCGGACATGTACTAGCTTAAGCAGGGGGACACGTCTGGCACTGCAGGATCTGAGTCCCTGGCGGCATAGTGTGTTACTGATGGTAACCTTTGTTACGTTGGTCCCAGCTCTCTGCAGGTCATTCACTAGGTCCCCCCGTGTGGTCCTGAGATTTTTTTGCTCACCGTTCTTGTGATCATTTTGACCCCACGGGGTGAGATCTTGCGTGGAGCCCCAGATCGAGGAAGATTATCAGTGGTCTTGTATGTCTTCCATTTTCTAATAATTGCTCCCACAGTTGATTTGTTCACACCAAGCTGCTTGCCTATTGCAGATTCAGTCTTCCCAACCTGGTGCAGGTCTACAATTTTGTTTCTGGTGTCCTTCGACAGCTCTTTGGTCTTCACCATAGTGGAGTTTGGAGTGTGACTGTTTGAGGTTGTGGACAGGTGTCTTTTATACTGATAACAAGTTCAAACAGGTGCCATTGATACAGGTAATGAGTGCAGGACAGAGGAGCCTCTTAAAGAAGAAGGTACAGGTCTGTGAGAGCCAGAAATCTTGCTTGTTTGTAGGTGACCAAATACTTATTTTCCACCATAATTTGCAAATAAATTCTTTCCACATCAGCCAATGTGATTGTCTAGATTTGTTTTCTCATTTTGTCTCTCATAGTTGAGGTCTACCTATGATGCCAATTACAGGCCTCTCTCATCTTTTTAAGTGGGAGAACTTGCACAATTGGTGGCTGACTAAATACTTTTTTGCCCCACTGTATATATACAGACACACTATATGGCTTATTTTATCCTCATTTTTCTCTTTGCTTGCATTATAGTGTGATGATGGTTTATTTTCATTAGTGCTCATATACTTTGGTTTTGTCATGTTTTCTTCTAAAATCTCCCTTTACTTGCATTATAATGCTTCATACTTTCCTTTACATCTGTCACTATGATTTCAGCTGATGATATTGGATCCTCCAGTGAGTATTGATAGACAACATTACTTGTGTTTTTAGATATAGTTTTATGCATGTGTCAAACCCTCTGGTCTTTTTTTTTTAAAAAAAAATAAAATAAAATAAAATGTGAAGCTGTATGTATCTCATTGACTGCACTCTTATTGAATCTTCCATTCTACCTCTTTCACTCCGCACTGTGCCTTGTTAGCATATTGTCTTTTATCTGTACCTTTGTGGTCCCTGTCCACAGGCTGAGGACACTCAGAGTTCTGTCCCTCACTGCTTTACTATCTACTCTGCACAAACAACAATAGGAGTGGCTGCCAGGTGAGCTTGTGCTTGAGGCAGATCAAACAATGGAATATGTAGAATGTTAATTCAACAACTGATTTTTCTGAATTTATTTATTGGTTTGGTGTATTCAGGATTTGCTCTGCTTCTCAGCAGTACCTGTTAGCTCATACCAGGTGGAAGTCCGTTTGTAGGTTAAATTAATTTCTGCAGCACTCTGTTAACACTTTGTTTTTTCTTTGTTTAGTATAATTATTAGTAATCTTGTACCTGTAATGCAGTCTTCTACCAAGCAGTGTTCTAAGGGCCTAATAAAAAAGGTCTGTGCTAGTCTGAAGGTTATACAATGGCTAATAATACCTGTTAGAGAATTAAAAAAATCCGTACTACAGGGTCTGCATGCGCCAACCTGCCAAACAGACTTGTCAAGCCTTGCATTGGTGAATGGTGCATGAGACTGCAATGTCACAAACTACAGGAAGTGAACCCGGAGATTTTGGTATGACAGCACCGTATAGGACCCGCTAGTTTACATAGGGTTTTACAGCGTTACAAAAACAACTAATTATCTTTGTGGCTATATTAGTGGAGAATAAAAATGAATATATATATATATATATATACAGACAGAGACACACACACACCATTATCAATAATTGCTCATTCTCTGTTACTTAGGATTTGTGTTTGTTTCAGCACTCAGGTGGATATGAGACGCTGGCTAGATGATTTGAATGCTGCTATCAGTCGGGCTCCGAGATACAGTGAATTATCTGCCCAGTCATTACAGCGCAAGTATCTTTGTTATCTTCTGCACTGTAACCCTTCCATATGTTGTAATAACTACTGGCAATAGTTACACATTTTTGTTTCTTAGTTATATTTTGCCTAGCAGTCACTTTTATTGCATAATCAAGCAAGAGTGGCATTGTACTTTCCCTGTAATATAGCTTTTATATACTGTTGCTGCACATAAATACTGTGTTTTAGAGTGTATCTATACCCTAAACTTCTCTTTCTGTTTTGGATAGAATGTAGACAGGTTAGGACCCGTCAGGGTTTACTGCTACTCGGGGCTTCATTAGAGAGACAGAGGTTCTAGCATTCTCCTATTAGCCTTAAAAACATTTTACCTCTTGTCTTTGTTGCAGTTAGAGGGTTTTCCCTTCACAATATCCTATCATACACGAGTATTTGCATGCGGGGGAATGGAATAGTGGACTAAATGCACATTGAAAGATAAGTTCACCCTTTATAATATGTATTACCCTGTACCCTGTATTCAGGGTGTAACATGTTACTGCTGCAGCTGCCCCTTCTTGAATTCTCGCTGTGACAGTAAGCCGTGGATCTTCTCCCCGCACCTGCTGCCACAATTTAAAAAAGGGAAGGCCATATGGGGCTCCCCCAACCTGGCCACATCATTCAGAGTTCTGTGAATGGGAAACTACAACTACCATCAACCTTTGCTGCTGACATCTTGTAGTTCTCAATGAGCTACCAGAGCCCTATTGAGAACTCTAGGTCAATTGATATTTCTTATCAGTGTGTAACAGCCTGCATAAGGTACGAGCAGACAGCTTACACTGACAGTCTGCAAGAGCCCTGCATTGCACTTGTGATCTGCTGATCGCGGGTGCGCAAAACTTTATAGGCTCCTAGTAAAAAAAAAGTAATATTGCACTTTTTTAACCTGCAAAAAGATGTGTATTTATAATTTTTTTTTTTTTTAAATAGGTGAGCTTATCTTTTAAGCCTGTATGAGATCTCATTTAGAGTGAATTGGCACATATTGCTTTTCTATAGGTTATTTTTTTATAAACTGCTCAAAAAAATGAAAGGAACACTTTGAAAACACATCAGATCTCAATGGGGAAAATATCATGCTTGAGATCTATACTGATATGGACTGGAACATAAGGATGCCCCATCGTTTGATTGAATTCAGTCCTCTATAGGTTGATCATTTTCATTTCCAAGACATCCCGAAAATCAAAGTGAAAAAATGATGCAGCAGGCTAGTCTATTTTGCTTAAATTTCATTGTAGCAACTTAAAATGGTACTCAGTAGTTTTGTATGGCCCCCACGTGCTTGTATGCATGCTTGATAACATCAGGGCTTGATCCTAAAGAGACAACCAATGGTGTCCTGGGGTATTTCCTCCCAGATCTTGACCAGGGCATCATTGAGCTCCTGGACAGTCTGAGGTGCAAACTGGTGGCGTCGGATGGACCGAAACATGATATCCCAGAGGTGTTCTATTGGATTTAGGTCAGGTGAGCATGGAGGCCAGTCAATGGTATCAATTCCTTCATCCTCCAGGAACTGCCTGCATACTCTCGCCACATGAGGCCAGACATTGTCATGCACCAGGAGGAACCCAAGACCCACTGCACCAGCGTAGGGTCTGACAATGGGTTCAAGGATTTTATCCTGATACCTAATGGCAGTCAGGGTGCCATTGTCTAGCTTGTAGAGATCTGTGTCCCTCCATGGATATGCTTCCTCAGACCATCGCTGACCCACCACCAAAACGGTCATGCTGAATAATGTTACAGGCAGCATAACGTTCTCCACGGCTTCTCCAGACCCTTTCACATCTGTCACATGTGCTCAGGGTGAACCTGCTCTCATCTGTGAAAAGCACAGGGCGCCAGTGGTGGACCTGCCAATTACAGTGTTCAATGGCAAATGTCAATCGAGCTCTATGGTGCTGGGCAGTAAGCACAGGGCCCACTAGAGGATGTCGGGCCCTCAGGCCACCCTCATGAAGTCTGTTTCTGATTGGTCAGAGACATTCACATAAGTGGCCTGCTGCAGGTCATTTTGTAGGGCTCTGGCAGTGCTCATCCTGTTCCTCCTTGCACAAAGGAGCAGATACCGGTCCTGCTGATGGGTTAAGGACTATGGCCCTGTCCAGCTCTCCTAGAGTAACTGCCTTTCTCCTGGAATCTCCTCCATGCTCTTGACTCTAACTTCCTACATCAGTAAAACTTCGCAAGAGTTCTAGTTCTTCCCTACGCTATTCAAAACTAAAGTAAAGTTTTGGGTATAATTGCATTTAAATGTAATTTGCATAAAATAAATGTTTCTAATTAACAGCAAATCATTAAATTGGCCTACTCCCAACATTTCCATTTATGCTGTATTCTTATTGTTTCTGTCACCACACAGAACCACTGATCCAGACTCCAGGCCAAACTCACCGCCCTAACACGCTCAGTCATGTGTGCTGGTATCGGAACCAGAGTGTGTCACTGCCTGATCACATTACTATGATGGAGGTAATTTACACACCGATATTAGCTTATTTGCCCATGGTAAGAGACCACTATATACACATTCAAGTTTGAGATGGAGTAAGGTAGAATGGGGCCCTCTCTCATGAAGTGACAGGCAGGGGCACTACTTTGATCTATTGCAATCTCCTTGGTTTACTGCAAGAGTATGAATGTTGTAACTGGGGCCCCTGGACTGGACATCCACTTGGCCCTAGGCTCCAAGGATCGGATGTTTTCTCAGAGCTACTCTTTATGCTGCTTTACTGCCTTACATATTTATATACTTCAAATAAATAATACATTTTAGATTCTATAGCTTATAACCAGTATCCATATTGGTGTACACATTTGCTAATAAAGAAAGAACACAGTAAAATGTATGACATGAAATTCCCTGCAATAGTAATTTAGACTTTTGACCAATTCTCTTTTAAATATCTAATAATATTAAAATAGTATTTTTAAACTATAACTAAAGGCAAAACTTTCTTTGTTGTGGATAGAGTGGAGAGGGATTAGACCATCTGTCAGGATTTTGTTGTTTGTGCCCCCGTTAGAGAGATTCACCCTCTCTCTGTCTCACGTTTACCTTTTATCAAAAGTGAAGGCATAAGAAAATCCCAAATTTTGGGTTGTCCACAGATTTCAATGGGAACACTAGTTCTGGTGACAACCAGGGATTCTTTCACTTTGGAGGGATCTCCTCTCACTTTCTGTTTTGGCTATGGGACAGGCAGTGAAGGTAAATCTCCCCAACGGGACCCTGATGGCGAAAAAAAAAAAAACTTGACAGGTGTTATAACCCTCCCCTACTCTATCCAAAATGAAGAAAAAAAAAAAGGTTTGCCTTTAGTTGTATATTTCCTATATAAGTATAGTGTTGTACTTTTGGTGTATGTATTGAAACACTTGCCTATCCTTGAATCCTCTCTGGCGCATTGTCTACCAAAGTCTCAGCCAATCAGGAATCCGCTCTCTTGATCAGCACAGTAGCCAATTAGGAGACATCTCTTCTAATCAGCGTTGGCATAAATAAGTGAAGAGTGGGTCAGTATTCAAGCAACTCTATGCCTAAACCACACTCTCCTTCTACAGAATCTCATGGCACCCATGCCCGCCCCTGTTGCTGTCCATGCTTGCCAGTGTTGTTCCTCCGAGTGTTCTCTATCTTTGCTCCTCTGTATGCCTCAGTGTCCCAGTGCCCTGTGCATCACTAGGTCTCCAAGTGTACCCCTGTATGCCCCTTTGCCTCCATGTGGGCCTGGGCCCCTGTGTCTCCTGTGTGTCCGTGTGAGCCTGTGCGACACCCATGTCTCTATGCTGCTTTTGGTACTCTCCCTAAATCACTTGGAATTCATGATAGATTGCTCGAACCGTTAATGTGTTCTCTGTATGCCACTCTAATACTGATCCCAACAAGCTTCTTTCTCAAAGACTCAATGCCCAGGAAGCCGGTCAAGTCCAATTGATAGTACATCTACACAACCTTTCACCTCATTTGTATCAATTACAGGCCTCTATTGCTCCAGCTCTGAACCTCTGGCCCCATCACGGCCATATCCAGAGCCATCTGTACGTCTTTGCCTTCACAATGTACTTGCTGCCTCCCTCCACACTTCTCCAGGAACTCCCAAGGGTTGCTGCGGGTTTAAAAATCAATGTAATAATACACTTTCTGCTGCAGCCACAGAACTTTTTCACAGACCACACTAAAGTGGCCTGTGTACTCTCTCTACTCTCTTTAGAAGCGTTGGCCTGGGTATATCTGCTCTGAGAAAAAAGGAGACCCTGTGACCAACAACATTGCAACCTTTCTAGCACTCTTCTGAAGAATCTTTGAGAAGCCTGCTCTTTGACAAGTGACTTTCTTTGCCACTACCAAGCTTGGCTTACAGTAGACCAGTAACGATTCGGTATATAGAAAACAATCACTGTTACCTTGGAAATCTTCATAGATTCAGGACCAGCTGCCATCCTCATTTTTGCATCCTTTATTAAAACGTTTACCTGGCCCCTTCAGTCACTGTCAGTCTCGTTGAATCTCCACAGTAGATGGCACTATTTTACCTGTGTACCCATCCACTTTTAAACCACATCTGTTAGATGTCTGCTGGTGTGCCTCACCACAAAACCATCTCCTTCCTCATTCTACTGTAAGCCACTTATTCATTCATCTGGACCTTCCCTGCCTCCTACTACACTCCTCTGTTACCTTTCTGGAAGCCTTCCTGTCATTCCATGTGCATTACCAAGGTCTTGCCACCCAAGTCTCTTCCTCTGGTCGTAGCTGATGTTACTGTCTCTGTTGAGGCTTACTGTGTAGATTTTCAAGTGCAATGAAGAACAGTTGCCACCACATCATCTTTATGATTGTGCCACAGCCTAAATCTGGGCCCTATTCCATGTAGAGGATGGGTAAATTCTCTGCTCCTGAGACCAAGTCCATGACGGAATACGTAAATGAGAATCTCAGACTTTATCCTCAGATCATCTATTTCTGGGGCAGGGCACCCTTATATAGAATACTGAGGATTAAATGCCGTTATAGTAAAGAACTGCTACCTACTGCCTCCTATCGAACTCTTTGATAGGCTTCAAACAGCCAAACTAAACATAAAAAAAAGAGATGATTGGAAGACTGCACTTAATATCCGAATAGTCACTGTGAGTACCTTGTAATCCCTTTCAGCCTGTGTAATGCCCCCACTGTCTTCCAGCACTTTGTCAATGAAGTCTTCTGAGATCTGCTGTACGAGTGTGTAGTCTATCTGATTGATATACGAATTCCCCCACACAGAGACACCATATCTGCACTAATAATGAAGATCTCCTGCACTACTATTTCGTGATAAATTAGGTGAGTGGGAGCTGCTAGCACCTAACCATATACCATGTGGAAACAAAAACTAATGAAACCAAAATGATGCAGCGCTACCCTAATAATAAAATAATACAATATGACAAAAATGAACAAAGTGACATAAATATATATATGTTACAAAAAATCAGTGGATTGATCCTCTCTGGGGATCTCAATATAAAGTGACATAAAATATATATACGTGCCAATAAATCAGTGGATTGATCCTCTCTGGGATCTCAAGTGAAAAAGTGATCACACCTGGTATAAAAAACCAGGAACCAATACCACCACTATCCAAAATAGGATCATACACAAAATAAAATAAAACACAAATATTCACTTAATTTTTTTGATGTGTTTGCTCATAAATATACTATTTGTATGTGTGTTTTTTGGCACTATTGTATTTAATTGATCCCACATTTAGGGATCCATTTTATGTCACTATTTACTTTTAATATAGCTTAATTTAGCCATTATTTGTCATGATCTGCACGATGTTGTTGATCCCTGTTAGGGGTTCATGTTCTCATTTTCACTATCATTTGCATGAATTTATTGATCCCTATTTAGGGATTCACGCTTATTTGTGTTTTCTTTTATTTTGAGTATGATCCTATTTTGGATAGTGGGGGTATTGGTTCCTGTTTTTTTTTTGTTTTTGTTTTTTGTACCAGGTGTGATCACTTTTTCACTTGAGATCCCAGAGAGGATCAATCCACTGACTTATTGGCACGTATATATTTTTTGTCACTTTATATTGAGATCCCCAATCCACTGATTTTTTTTTTTTTTTTTTTTGTTATATATATATATGTCACTTTGTTTTTGCCCTATTGTATTATTTTATTATTAGGGTAGCACCATATCTGCACTGCCTTGCAATGTCTTCATGAAAATGGACTTCTAAGGCTGAAAAATGTCTCTTTTGAACTCCTCAGGTGCATTTCCTGTGCTATATAGTCCCTGAAGATGGTCTTTCCATGGATCCTGAAACATGTTCTGCTATCTTCAACTGGCCTCTACTCAGTAGACTCAAAGCTGCATAGCACTTTTTCAAAACTATATTGGCAGTCCATCACCTACTCGGTTCTTATTGCTTTACATTACATTACAGCTCTCACTTTAGATAGATAACCTTAACCACTCACCTAACAACACAGTTGAAGCCTTCCATGTTTTTGAAGCAAGCCTTCCTTTCCAATCCAGCTCTGAGACCAGACATCACAAAACCCTTCTAAATCAAGGTCAACAGTCATCATTTGCGGGAGTCAGTGCCATTCTATTTTGGACCCCCACACCAGAGGAAAAGTGAATCTAAACGAATGGCAATATCTCCTTGAAAGATTGTATCTGTAAATCTCAGGATATCTCTTTACAGTTTTCCTCAGATCAGTGGATTAACTGAGAGGATCACTCAGTTCTTGGAACAATATCTTTGTGCTCTAGTGTCTGCCCATCATGATGATTAGGTCGGCCTCCTGCTTTGAGCAGAATTTTCCCACAATAACCATCTTAAGACCAGCACCTATTCTTCATTATTTGTGGCACGCATGAACTTTTGCCTTTGCTAGTACCCTATTCCTCATAGATTCCCTCTCTCTTTGCTATGCAAAAAGACTTTAACTAATTTAGGTCCCAAATTTGAAACTAGCTCCAAACAAAAAATATGTAGATTTCTTTCTCCAACCAAAAGATAAAGTTTGGCGTGCCACGAAAACATTAATCTCAAGGTTCCTTTCGTGACATTTGTCCTGTTATACTGAACCTTATGTAATCACTGTAAAGATCAATCCAAACTGCTATGAACTTTTGTTTGCCTCCGCATCTAAAGCTACAGAATTCTTTCCATGTTTCCCTGCTTAAAGTATTACTAAACCCAGGACCCTGCATTCACTATATCTGGTCTCCCACAGTACACAGACCATAGAAGTGCAATTATTTTAGTAAATATAAACTGCTAAATACCTTTTCTCATCAGCAGTTAGAGCAGCCTTGTGACTTCTATCAGTGTCCAGCAGAGCACTGGTTAAAGCTGCTTGTTGTCTTCATTTTGCTCTAGGATGCAGAACCCCTAACCCCTGTCTGTACAGTGCTGATTGGCCCTGTGCTGATCACATGCACTCTTCCAAGAAAAAAAAAAAAACCTCTCTAGCAATACACACCAAACTTAGCATGTGCAGAGTGACTCCACACAATAAGTCTCATCAGGAGATAAGAGGAGGACACTGGAAGGAGGAGTGGGTCAGAGAAGTCAGGATCAAACAGCCTTTTTACACAATGCAGAGGATTAACCCCTTGGGTTTCACAGTGAGTATAACAAGCATGCCTTACTGCATGTACAGACTAATTTTACTGTTGTGGGTTTAGTAACACTTTAAGACTCTGATCCTGTATGTGTTCTCCTGCCCTTCATCTCTAGCTACTCCCTCAGCCAATCCTTCCCAAGAATCTGAGGTTTGCCATATCCTGGACTTCAAAATTTTCCATGCCAAACTTCGGTACCAAATTGGAAGGACTTCAGTCCTGAAGTAAGATCCTGGATCCCTGAATCTGATGCTTTGGCTCTCCACCAAGTAAAAAAAAAAGGGATAATGTAACGCTTACCTATCCTGGGATCCAGCACTCTCTGGCATGAGGCCATTGGCTTTTCTGGGTTTCACCCTGAATGCTGGCATCACCATCAATCCATAAACAGCTCTCTGTATGCCTTTAGGTGCACCCCTGTGTGTACAGAACCTGAGTCTACATGCAGCTTCCAGTACACACCTGCAATCAGTTAGACTGTATCTGTTAGTAGATATGAACCCTAGTCCATGATAGGTATGGAATTTTTTTTTTCATGCTTTTGTCTTGAATAAGTTACTGAGACGATCATGCAGTTATGGCTACCTACGTTTTTCATCTATTTTTTTTTCCTATTAATTGTTTTTGTGCTACACTGGGAATAAAGCCAATTGTTCTTTTTGTGCAACCATGAATTATTCTCTGACTATAATCGTTAGCATATCCTTTGAGGGGACCATAGCTAATGTCTGGACTCTGTGTATGTCCTTCTCTAATTATTATTATTAATATACAGGATTTATATAGTGCCAACAGTTTGCTCCGCGCTTTACAATATAACTGGAGACAATACAGCAACAATACAAGAGGGATAGAAGGGCCCTGCTCCTTGGAGCTTTAAATCTAGGAGGGAGGGGCTAGTGGTACAAAAGGTAGTACCTGTGGGTGACTGACTGGTTGGAAGAGTAGAAGATTCCATTATTAGCTGAGGGCACGATAGGCTTCCCTGAAGAGAAAAGTTTTCAGAGATCGCCTAAAAGTGAGCAGAGAAGGTGATAGTCTGATAAATTGGGGTAGAGAGTTCCAGAGGATGGGAGAAGCTCTGGAGATGAGCATGGGAGGAGGAGACAAGGGAGCTAGAGAGTAGGAGGTCTTGCGAGGAGCGTAGAGTACGGTTTGGGTGATATTTAGAGAAAAGATCGGTGAGGTAATTTGGGGCAGAGTTATAAATGGCTTTATACGTTATTGTTTTGAATTTTATCCGTTGGGCAATGGGAAGCCAGTAGAGGGATTGGCAGAGAGGGGTGGCTGATAAAGAATGGTTAGTAAGATGGATGAGTATGGCAGCAGCATTCATGATAGACTGAAGAGGGGATAGCCTGCGATTCGGTAGGCCAATGAGGAGGGAGTTACAATAGTCAAGGCGAGAGATAACCAGGGAGTGAATAAGTTGCTTAGTGGTTTCCGAGGTTAAGAACGGCCATATCTTGGAGATGTTGCGGAGGTGAAGTCTACAAGATTTAGACAGATTGGATTTGGGGCTGAAAGGACAGGTGGGAGTCTAGGAGTACACCTAGTACCCTGGCATGAGGGGAGGGACTGATGATTGTGTTATTGATCTTGATGGAGAATTCAGGGGAGGGGGCATGGGCTGGGGGGAATACTAAGAGCTCAGTTTTGGAAAGATTGAGTTTGAGGAAGTGGAGTGACATCCATTAGTAGGTTAGTAATGCGAGAGGAGACTGAAGGGGGGTGAGGTGAGGGGTAGAAAGATAGATTTGTGTGTCATCAGCATAGAGATGGTACTTAAAGCCATGGGAGTTTATCAAGTGACCAAGGGAGGAGGTGTAGATAAAGAAGAGAAGGGGTCCAAGGACAGAACCTTGAGGGACCCCTACAGAAAGAGGAAGTGAAGAGGAGGAGGCAGCGTTATAGGTAACGCTGATGGAGCGCTGCGATAGGTAGGAGGAGAACCAGGAGAGAGCAGAGTCTCTGAGGCCAAGAGAGTGGAGTTTTTTGAGGAGGAGGGGATGGTCAACCGTATCAAAAGCCGCAGAGAGGTCAAGTAGTAAGAGTACGGAGTAGTGGCCATTGGTTTTAGCAGTTAGTAGATCATTAGTGAGTTTTGGTAGGGCAGTTTCAGTGGAGTGCAGTGAGCGAAAGCCAGACTGTGAAGGGTCAAGAAGGTTGTTGTCAGTGAGGTAGGAGCTCAGGCGATTGTAGACTAATAAAATCTTTTAAAACTAAGGTAAAAATAACTATTTTTTTTATTGTTCCAAAAACATGGTATACATGAAAGGTACAAAGAAAAGTACCTGTGAACAAAAAATTAAATCAAGACAAAAGTAACCGAAAATAAATATGTAATCATAAAATGATATTGTAATTATTAATGATTAGAAATGGCAGTATTATCAATCTCAATTTTTCAGCAATGCCCAGAAAAAATACTAATATATAGCCGTAATTATTTATACAGTTAGGTCCATATATATTTGGACACAGGCACAACTTGAATATATTCATAAATAAAATGATGGAAAGAGTCCCTTATAATATAGTGGGCCGTCTTCCTACACCTGCTGTTGTAAATATTAGTGATGGTGGGCATATTGATGCCAATAAACGTCTGAGCAGTCTTCACTGCCCGCTGCAGTACCTGCAAAGCAATTAATGTACTAAATGGCAATGCAAAAAGTAAGGACACTCTTCACCAAACATATATATAATGAGATTAGAACTGAAGGCCAGCACACTTCTACCTCCACAAAAATAAAAGTACTGGGAGGTGGGAAACCCCTGGGGATGTTCTAAGCTGCCGTACAGGCTATGGAGTATCAACCTGGGCTTGTATCTCTGGATTATTGGTTCCTGTCTCTGTTGGCTCCCAGTTTGTTACTGGTCAAATAGAAACACTGCATCTTTTGATTGTTAAATATCTGGAATAGTTACTGTGGATTTTGGGACACCGAATCTCCTTATAAGGGACTCTACATAATGGGACAGAATTGACTATCTCTTTGATCTTTAGCCAGAAAGCTTGGTTTTGATCTTCTCTGATCAGTAAACCCATCTGCATGTTGTTGCTGTGTTTTTGGCACTGTGCCTGTCCTTTTTCACATAGTAATTTTGGTGTAACTGATGCACCTTTACTTTGGTGACAACTATTGAATTCTGTAGCTCCCTTGAAGTAAGTTTTGGCATCCTCACAAGTTTCCTTCTTTGCAAAACATTTTGAGACGACCTCCCTCTTCTAGGCAGTGTTTAGATGGTTTGATGTAATTTACACTTCATAGTAACTCAAGCAACAGTGCCCTCTGAGACAGTCAAATACTTGGATGTTGTACCCTTTTCTACTTTATGGTCTGGAATTACTTTATCTTTGATCTGTTTGCAATGGGTTTTTCATGTTCACAGCTGCCATTCCGATATGTAGCCTAGGATTCCTATACTGGCGATTGCTTCTGTATTAGTCAATTTGTTTTTTTTTTTGCCTGTGTAAGCAGATAGCTTCTGTCTATACATGGGTTAAACACCTATACAAACTTAATAAAGTAGATTTACACTAAAAACTATTTGTACCATTACCACTTACCATACATTTTTTTTTTTTTTTTTTTTTTAGAGCAGAGCCCTTTATGTGAAGATGTGACTTTAAGGTCTTGCCTCTAGCTGTCTATCACACGTGCAATAATTTGAATATTTCTTTCTGTATATGGCTTCTTCTCAGCACATCGTGGCTGAGCAGATCTGAGCTAAGAAACCGAAAGCTCAACTCTCATTCTGCAAGAGAAGCTTCCCTTGTTCTACTCTGTGTAATCTGTTATAGCAAGGAGCTTGGCATACTAGTGGGATGGGTATAGAGACCGAATTCTGGCAGGTATCAGGTCCATAATTGCTTCATCGTTGCAAGGAAAGTGTTAACTGGTAATATACCCATGCTTTAAAAAAATAAAATCCAACAGGTGTACGCAAACTGGCATATAATTTATTATGAAAACTCTCATTTTGTCTTTTAGAACCAGCTCTCTGGCTACTTGCTTCGGAAGTTCAAGAACAGTAATGGCTGGCAGCGACTGTGGGTGATCTTCACCAGTTTTTGCCTTTTCTTTTACAAAACACACCAGGTAAAAATTTAAAAATGAACATGTCTGAAAGGAGATTAAGGGTGGTTTCTCACTGATGTGCTATGGTTTAGCTGCAGCACAGTGTACCCCTGGTTTTCATGCCGTTAACTCACGCTTTCCCATCGGCTTCTATTAGATTATGCGGTTTTGGCCAGTTTTCCAAGTGCACCAAAAGTCCTGCATGCAAATTGTCTTTCAAAAGGATTGTTTTTTGCTATTTACAAATTCAGTAAATTGAACAAAAGTATTAATAATTGCCCCCTCTAGCTAGTCACTTGTGTTTGAAAAATAATTCTGGATCTCTTCCATATCTAATAGGGTACCACATGCAGCTTGACCTTTTAAGATTCTTCTCTGTAGAAGCATATCACTCTACCAGATTGGCATTTCTCAATTTGTGGATTTAGTGTCTGCAGTTTGTATAATATTGGTAGTTTATTAACTGATATGATGTTGATGTCTGCAGGAAGATGCCCCACTTGCCTCTCTGCCACTTCTGGGATACACAGTCAGTATTCCATCAAATTCAGACCCTGTTAACTGTCGTCATGTCTTCAAACTACACTTCAAATCACATGTGTATTTCTTCAGAGCAGACAGCGAGTATACGTGGAGAAGGTCTGTAATGTGATTTATATCTTTTTCGCTTTATCCATTAAAGTATTGGTGATATTTGTAATATAGTCAAAGGAAGTATCACATTCAAGGTCATGTATCCAGGCAAATTAAGGCTGCTATACATTATTGTAGTTTATCAAATATTGCTGTTTATATAATCTATTTTGTGAAAATATTTTATCTTCAGATTTCTGTGGAATTCTAGTGTTGCAATTAAAAACACCAACACCAGGAAAACACCATTGTCTTTATAAGTAAAAGGTCACAGACCTGTTTTGATGGCATCCTAATGGTATAGCATTATTTTTGTGTACCAGTGCACTTCATTAGGTTTCTGACATTACTGAAAAACATTCTCTAAGTGCTGATTAGTGCTGGAGAATGTACGCAGTAATGTAGTATTAGGGCCAGTGGCTTTATATACAGCCCCAAAGCCAAAACAATTAGGATACTGTGTAAAATCTACATAAAAACAGAATGTAATGATTGCAAATCTCATAAACCCATATTTTATTCACAATAGAAAACATATCAAATGTTTAAAACGAGAAAATTTTACCTTTTTAAGAAAAAAATTAGGTATTTTTGAAATTGATGGCAGCAAAATGTCTCAACATTTTTATAGGGCAACATCAAGCTGTCAGTGCAAAGTAGTACAACAAGAAAGCACTGGAAGGACATTTTACAACTAATAGGCTAATTGGCAACAGGTCAGTAACATGATTGGGTATAAAAAAGAGCAGCTTAGAGACAGAAGTGTAAAGAGTCTCTCAAAAGTAAAGAAGAAGTTCACCAATCTGTGAAAAGCTGCATTTAAAAATTGTCAAACAATTTCAGAATAATGTTCTTCAATGCAAAATGGCAAAGACTTTTATATTATGTACTGCAGATGATAATCTATTTAAAGATTCTAAGAATCTGGAGAGATCTGTGTGCAAGGGACAAGGCTGAAATACAGTATTGGATGCCTGTGATCTTCAAACGCTCATACAGTACTGCATTAAAAAACAAGCATGATTCTGTGATGGACATCACTGCACGGGCTCAGGAATATTTCCAAAAATCACTCTCTGTAAACACAGTTCAACATGCCATCCAAAAATACAAGTTAAAGCTCTATTCTGCAAAGAAGTTATATCTGAACATGATCTAGAAACGCAGAAGTCTTCACTGGGCCAAAGCTCATTTAACCACTTCAACGCTAAGCACTTTCACCCCCTTCCTGTCCAGGCCAATTTTCAGCTTTCAGCGCTGTCGCACTTTAAATGACAAATGCGTGGTCATGCAACACTGTACCCAAATTTTTTTATTTTTTTTTTTATCTTTTTTTTTCCTTTCTTTTACGCAAATAGACCTTTTTTGGTGGTATTCAATCACCACTGGGTTTCTTATTTTTTGCTAAATGAACGAAAAAAAGACAAAACACTTTGAGAAAAAAAAAAAAAAAGGGACCACAAAACTATGGTATATATCTGAAAGTAGATTAGTCCTGATGTACTTATGGCCTCTTGTTTCTTGAAGCCAGGACAGTACATATATCGCCCAAATTACCCCTTTTTGGAAAGTAGACAGTCCAAGGTATTTAGTAAGAGGCAAGGCAAGTTTTCTGAAGTTTTAATTTCTGGTGACATTTTTTGGAAAATTGAAGAAAATGAAAGATTTGGTTTTTTTTTTTTTAACATACCGTCACCAATGCTGTACAGTGTGTGGTGGTGATCAGGAACACGGACTGGTGACAGTGACAGGATGTAAAAAAAAAAAAAAAAAAATTTCCAGTTTTCTTTTTTACACACTGTGCCCAAAGTAACACTGTACTACTCCTGGAGAGGTGATTTTATTTTTTTTTTTTACACACTATGATTGCTTAGAACAGTGAATGTTACTGTTATAAGCAACCATTTTTTCTGAATGAAATCAATTCATGCAGTGTGTACTCTTGTGATTAACTATGGCCAATCATAGCTAATCACATGCTACAGCTGGACTGTGATGGGCCCTGTCTGTACCATGTGATCACTGTAACCAATCAGAGATCAACAAAATAGTGCACAAGACTGGATGCCATCCATTGTGTACAATTCTCATGTAATATGCTGTGATTAGTCACAACGATCACATGGTACTGGCAACGGGGCCAGTACACTGATCAGATCGCGCTTCGACGTGGACTGTTCTGGGGAGGACGTTATGACGTCCACCCAGAACAGCAAATGTCTTGACCGGCCTATAATAAAATTATGGTGTTAAAATAGTCTGTTGCAAAGTAGAGAACTGTTCCGTGATAAGACTAATCGAAATTTGACATTCTGTTTTGGCAACCATTTGCTGCGTTCCTCGGACTAAAGAGTAGAGGGACTTTCCAGCTTGTTATTCGTCCAAAACCCTGCATCTCTGATGGTATGGAGGTGCATTAGTGCATATGGAACATCTGGAAAGACAACATCAGGGCTGAAAGACATATCCAGGATTTAGAGCAGCTCCATCCAGACATCTTTTTCAAGGAAGGCCTTGCATATTTTAACAGGCCAATGCTAAACCACAAACTGTATCTATGATAATAGAATGGCTTTGTAGTAGAAGATTCCAGGTGCTTAACTAGCTTACCTGCAGTTCAGACCTTTAACCAACTGAGAATATTAGGCATATCTTAAAAAATACGGACAAAAGACCCAGGACCGTTGATCAGCTAGAATCCAATATCGAGCAAGAATGGGACAACATTCCTCTCCCAAAACTCCAGCAACTGGTCTCCTCAGCTCCCAGACATTTACATAGTGTTGTTTAAACCCCTTCACGTCTAAGAGTAAAACAAATCTAAATGCTTAGGCATAATTTTTTGCAATGTTGATATGTGTTAGTAAAACTGTACATATCATCACAACCACTTTGTCCTGAAAAATACAAGGTATAATTCACCTTGATGTACAAATTGGGCTTTCATTTGGTGGTAAATGGTAATGGATATCTCTTGATTTTTTTTTTTTTTTTAATTAAAGGAAAACTAGCACAAAATAGTAATAATAAAAATCATTTTTTATTTAGCTGTGTGTTTCTTGTTACTACCATAACCTACCACCAAAGAACAACCCAAAATAAATTCTACAGCTCTTGACGATCACATCATACCATATATGTGTATGTTGTCTGTACCCGTAGTACAGCCCAGAAACAATAGTGCGCTTTTATATATATATATATATATATATATATATATCTATATATATAAAAACACACTGACACCAATTTTTTTTTTAAATCCTGACTTTTGACCCTGACCTTTTTGACCTTGACCTTTGACCCTGGCACTGAACTAGATCAAACCTTGATCTAGGTCTTTTTTCTTTTTTAATATTTATCTTTTTTTTTTCTTTTCTCTATGCCAGGAGTTAGAGAGATACAATGTTGTCTCTCTCTTCTCCAATCATAGAGAGAGGGGAAAAAAAAAGGGGGCCAGGCTGTACAGTGACTGATCACTATGATAGCCAATCAGAGGCTATCACAGCAATCAAGTGACCCGGAATTAGGAGTCCCAGGTCCCGATCGTTAGTGACACCGCAGACTTTGTGCTGAGAGACAGGTACGCAAATATGTGGCCCCATGGAAAAAAAGTCCAGTTCTGAGAGGCTGCATATTTGTGTTATGTTGGCGTCAAGGGGTTTAAAGAAGAGGGGATGCTACAGCATGGTAAACATGGCCCTGTCCCAACTTTTTTTTTTTTTTACTTTTTGCTATCCGTTCAAAATTACCTTCTTTTTTTTTTCTTAGAATGGAACATTTTCTCAGTTTTTTAAACATTTGATATGTTTTCTATTGTGAATAAAATATGGGTTTGAGATTTGCAAAACACATTCTGTTTTTATATAGATTTTACCCAGTGTCAGAACTTTTTTGGAATTGGGGTTGTACATGGACATACTCTTTAAAGTGTATCTAACCCAAAAACAAAATTGTAATTTATTGCAGCTTGCTTGTCCTTGGATGTGCTGGGTGCATTGGTATCTATTTTTCTGGTGACCTTTGTTAGTTTTTACCTAGTGCCCCTGCAAATAATATACTTCCTGTCCTAGAAGGAAAATGCTTACTTGTGCCACTGTACCTAAAAAGGGAGCCAAGGTTATCAAACTAGGTTGCTCTCCCAATATGGAATATGAACATATCCTCCTGTGACTTATTACATGGGAGACAGGATAATTTGTAGTTTACAGAAGATAGTTTGGAAGTATTTTTTTGTACTTGCTGAAAATGCTCTTATCCTGAAAATGGAAAGAAATGCAGCCACCACATCTAAGTACTACTAATCTGCTCCATGACACTATGGTCATGCATGGTGGTGCAGTGACGTAGAGTGAAGACGTGGTGTTGGTGCAATGGAAAAGAGTGAGGAATTACATTTTGATGCAGTGGTGTTGGGAGAAGAATTACGTTTTGGTGCAATCCTGGAGAGTGAGGAAATGCGTGCCAAAACAGTAGCAGAGAATAGGTCCGTGTGCATTGGTGCAGTGGTAGCAAGTGCATACTGTGATGGGTGCAGCGTCAGACCCCAGTCCTTCTCACCAACTTGTGACCGAAGGACTAGCCAATCTAAAACTGCGCTACCACTTGCGTAACAATGCCACTCTCAGCTGCACCCTGCACAAAGATTTTCCAGCTCACTGGACCCCAATCTAGGTGCCAACAGCCTGAGAGCAATTGTTACTGGGTCAGGTTAATTACGCATTTATCTCTTCACACTGCCACCACCACCTTTTTACAGAGAAGGAGGAAACTCACAAATCTTAGCAGTAACACTATGATGTTTGAATATTTATACAGAAAAGATGTAATATATAACACACAGTATATATATATTTATTCATATATATTATAAGAGAGAGAGAGATTTTGTACAGAGAGAGAGAGAGAGAGAGAGCGAGAGCGCAATAACACAACAGAGAGATAAAGAAAGAAGGTAGAATACTTGCAGAAGTCCTGGTTTAAGCAGCGTACAAGTGTCCTGGACAAAAAGGTACCTTTTCTCCCGAAGTTGGTTCCTGATGTTAAAAGGGAATCTCTTTTGTCTTGCTTCTCCAGGCCTGACAGCCTATTTTCTAGTCCTCCAGCAGGGGGTGTCTCTGAAGCCAAGGGCCAATCTCCTCATTTGGGGAGGGGGTTTTAGGCAGAGACCCAGGCTAGGACCAAAATCCCTCGCAAGTTATACCATGGTCAATAACCTTCCATAGGTACATGTAGCATCCTATCCACTGGTAAGATAATATGCAGAATGATATTCTGAATGTCCAGACACCAGATATGACATATCTGCTTGGGACGGTTAAGGAGATAACGCTTTCTGCTCTCGGGTAGACGTAATCTAGGGATGTAAGGTATCAGGTGACTCGCATTAAACTGACCTATCTGAATATGTTTTGTTTCATGTATGTATTTCCTGTTGAAAGTTATGAAATTGTATGAAAAAGTGGTTTCAAATGGGATGTAGGTTTTACTGCTATTCCGGAATGCTTTCAAATGGGATCCAGTTTTACTATTCCGGAATGGTCCAGTGACTGAGGGGTTTATAGCTTTACGATTAGCTCAGAGCAAGAGTCTGCCAGACACTATGGCACCAGCTAATTGGGTTTACAACCATTGAAGTGTATCCAGCTGTGCCCGATGCACTCCTGAACTCAGCACGCACACAGAGCACATGCCATACAACAAAAAGGGAGGGGGGGTATACTGTAGACCAGACCCTACCTTTCCATTCAGACATTGGGTCCTAAAGAGCCCCCTTCCTTTCCTTGTAGGGGATAGGAGGCTGTGCTGCTATGGTTGCAGCATAGATGGAGGAGGGAGAAGAATATCTGTGGCACTGTGGGGTAGGTTTTCTAAAACTGGTGCATTCAGAATCTGGTGAAGCTGTGCATAGTAGCCAATCGGCTTCTAACTTCAGCTTGTCCAGTTAAGCTTTGGCAATAAAACCTGGAAGCTGCTTGGTTTCTATGCAGAGTTGCACCAGATTTTGCAATCTCCAGTTTTAGTAAATCAACCCCCACTGTCTGTGAGCAGATTTGTGACACCTATGATGAATTTTAACCAGATCACACTCAACACCTATGGAAGGGGTCTATTCAGTGAGCATTTTGGGGGTCTGCATCTCCTCTTGAGAAGGGGCAGATAAATCTGTAGTTAAGGGTATGAATTTGTAAAAATAAAAAATGCCTCACACCTAAACCGTTTCTGTTGTAGATAATCTCCTAATGGGTAACATACTTTTCTCTCAATGAAAAGCAAAACTGACCATATCTCATGTATCTGAATAAGATATTTAAAACTAGCACAGGAATCTGCACTCTGAGGTTACCTGTATACCTGCTTATTACATATATTTACCTTTTGATTTTTAAATAGATCAAAAACTACTTGCAAATTTGGGTTTATGGGACATTATACACAGTTGTCTCTCATGATAGTGTGTCTACATATGTCAATGAACATTTAATGTACAGTAGACTCTCATGGGAGTGCCTTCACATACATTAATGCACATTTCAAAGACTAGGCAAGTGAAGCTTAAAGTGACACCAAACTGACTTTTTAAAACATTTTATTCAATTATATATTCTTAAAGATTATCTATGACTAGCACTATGGATAGCTTGTTACCCCCCCCCCCCCCCCCCCATGGATTTTGTGCACATAGTACTTGTCAACATTTAAATCCATGCAGGAGTTGCTAAGCTGTGTTGTCGGATAGGTATATGGCAGGGCACACAGACTGCACAGCCCCCACCCACTTCTCTTAAGCTGCCAGATAGAATTCTGATGTGCTGCCTATGCATCTCATTAATTTACACATAATTCAGACCTACAGCCTGCTGTTCATGATGGAGAGAAAGCAGAAACCGTGGTAAAATGAATGCAGATAGAGAAAAGGGTTTTCATTCACAAAAACCGCAAGCTGACAACCGCATCAGCCAGGTTCTACGCTAGGCTGTCTCAAACTAATGTAGTATCCGGTGTGTGCTGTTGTCAGCTTGGGTTTTTGTCAGTTTTCAGAACATAAGCTGACAGCTTCCATTTTCTGTGCCCTGACTAAAAGGCTGTAGGTCTGGACTCCATAGTGCATAATCTGGTGCAGCTCTGCATAGAAACCAATCAGCTTCCACTTTGGTTTTTTTGTCAAAGCTTAATTGAAAAAGCCGAAGTTAGAAGCTGATGGCTACCATGCACAGCTACATCAGATTTTTGCACTCTCCAATTTTAGTAAATGCAACCCTCGAGTACTGAACAGAACAGGTGAGGAGTCTGGTACTGCAAAATGGATCAATTGACTGTAACTCCCCTCCCCCCTGATAGAAACTTCTATATATAGGTTATCTTATTTAAAAAATTAGCAGAGGAATGAACAATGGTCTTGTTGAAATGCATCTCCGGCCAGACATATACATTACACATATGGTATACAGAAATATTGCTGTCAGCAAAAATCTTACAATCATAACATTATGTAGAGCATTTCCCTTCTGATGATCTTCGTTTTTACAGGTTTTTGTAACTATTTCAGAATAAGGGTTTCCAAGTTAGCTATTCCGGAAAGACTAAAAAGTGAAAAAATAGAGAGAAGTGGAGGGGACTGCTCCTGGGCTGAAACGCCAAATAGTTTCAGGATTCGGTGGGGTGGAACTCTACAGCCAGCAATGACAGAAAAGAAAGATTTATATTAAACATCTTCTGCTCAGATTTTAATGGGGGCAAGTGTTAAGTGGTTAAATTGATAAACTTATTTTCTAGAGATTTTTTTTTTCTTTTTTGATCTGCTGTGATCTGACTTCTTTTTTTTGAGGGTGGCCACGTTTCTTCTTTATCGTGCCACAGTATGTAGAAATGTAGCCACACTCGCTCCTGTGTTGGAAATGGGACTATGGCTTATGGACTACAGCAGGGAAAGGCAACCTGCGGCTCTCCAGCTGTTGCAGGACTACAAGTTCCATCATGCCTCTGCAAGTCGTAACTGTCAGTTTTGTAATGTCTCATGGGAAATGTAGTTCCACAACAGAGAGCCACAGGTTGCCTACCCCTGGACTACAGGATCTGTAGTGTGCTTACAGCAGTGCACATGACCACACCTAATGTGCACTTATCGTTCCAAATAATGAGGGGGAAATGGAAAGGGTTTGGAAGCTTATGGAAGATGCTATACTGAGGTAGAGGAACACAGTGAGAAGAAAATAAATAGTACTGCAAGGATAGGGCCAAGTCCAGACAGGTGTTTCTTTCAAAGTGCACACTATTTCAACAAATCTGTTTTGCTCTATTTGAAGGCTGCATGTATAGTAAGCCATATGTGTTTTCTGTGCTTCCTGGCATAGGTGGATGGAGGTGATCAGACGTGGAGTGAGTTCTCCGGGAAAAATTGGACACTTGGCAGAAGATGGAAGCATGGTTAATTTCCCTCTGTGAAGCTGAGACAACAATGAACATGTAAAGCAGTATGCATAGGCCATTTCCAGAATGTGGTCAGTGAGAGTGATTGATTTTCTGTGAATTCAGTGATCTTGTGGTTGTACGCTGAAGAGACTTCAAAGAAATTTACTACATAGCACTGATATAGCACCTTTGCCACAGCTTTCCTGTTATACTGAAGATACAAAGCCCTGTACTATTGGATTTCAGGTGTCTATAGTAAAACCACTCTGCTTAGCAAATGGATCACCGACTGTACAGACTTGTCAGCACCTTGTCTTCAGTTTTTGTTGTTTTTTTTTTTTTTAATTTAAAACCATTAATATTGAAGTCATGCTCTGTATCATTTGTGATTTTAATAAAATGTTTTTTGGTTCCAGAATGTTTTCAGTTTTATTTAAGTACTGTATATGTAAACCCTCACCTTGTAAGCAACCCATTCAGTTTAAAATAGAAATGAAAGGCACAACATTTGTTTAGATATTATAAAAACAGTATTTTATTTTTTTTTAAGTGATCTTATACCCTCTAAGCGCCTTATGCAGCTGAAAATTGAGAGCTGGGGGAGAAGAAATAGCACTACAATAAACTTCCAAATGAATGGCTGGTCATTGGAAGAGAGCACACTGAGCTCCTAACACAGCTAGAGAACTGTTCATACTCTGCTCTCATGACTAGTGTAGTCAGTTTTCAATAGGAAAGCAGAGGGGCTGGCAGGAAGGAACATAAAGGAAGCAATACAAAAAGAACAGGATACTTTTTCATACATGGTACAGCAGGCACATATCAGGAATATGAAATGTTGGGTTTACATACCTACATAAAAGACCTCCTGCTGCTGAATTACTGCTGTAGAGGAACCCTAATGTGCCGGATCATGCATATGATCTAGCATTTCTGGGTAAGGGGCGTGCACTCCCGACCTAGCTGTGATTTGCTACAGCACTAGCTGATCAGGGGGTACCCGCTAATGATTTATGCTTGGGACCTGCTTGTTTTATTTCCGTTTTTGCAGGGAGACAAAAAAAGAGTCTCACATTGCTTAGTAAAAACCTCACACTTGTTAGGGACACCGTTAAACCTTTGCTTGCCCCTAGATGTTAACCCATTCCCAGCCAGTGTCATTAGTACAGTGACAGCAGGGATACACCAAAATTTTGGTGGCCAAAAACACCCCTATTGGCCAGTATGTCACTGCTTATTTCTATCACAAGGGGTGCATGGCATTCCTTGTGATAGGAATAAAAGTGAGTTAAAAAAAAACTTTTTTTTTTTTTTTTTTTTTAAAGGAACCATGTAAAAAAAATAATTTTTTTTTTTATTTTTTAAAATTTATTTAAAAGTGCCCCCGTGCTCATGCATAGTGGTGTTTATGCATACATAGGCCACATATGTAAACTTTGTTCAAACCACATCTGAGGTATCACCAGGAATGCAAGCAGAGCAATAATTCTAGCACTAGACCTCCTCTGTAACTGTAAACAGGTAACCTGTAGAATTTTTAAAGCGTCCCCCATGGAGATTAAGTACCGTAGTTTGACGCCATTCCACGAGCGTGCACAATTTTAAAGCATGACATATTGGGTATCTATTTACTCGACGTAACATCTTTCATATTTTACAAAAAAATTGGGGTATATATATTGCAAAAAAAAACAGGTTTGAAAAATATTAATTTTTAAAAGCTGTCCATTTCAGTTTTGGTTTTCAGCTACGTGCATCCTGAATTTCATTTTGGTGCACCACTAAGTGACAGTGTATATTATAAGCACCGTATTAGTGTCAATGGTGAAGTCCGTGCCAGTTAACTAGTTTCCACAAAGTGTCAGATTGTCCACTGCACTATAACACACTCCTACTATAAGTAAATAAAAATTCCGACACACACACAGCTCTATATGTGTGTAAAAAAGAAACAAAAACAATTTGGGTACAGCGTTTACATGACTGCTCAATTACCAGTTAACATAGCACAGTGCCGAATATCAAAAAAATGCCCTGGTCAAGAAGGGGTTAAAACATTCTGACGCTTAATGGATAATCTTTAACACTAAAATCATACTGGGGGGTTCTCTGGTATTGTTTTTATTGCTGAACCCATTTTATACAACTGCCTGAATCGTGTTAGAACAGGTTTAGCAACCAGATTTGAACCCACCTTTGCTACAGGCAACTATAGCATTTGTGTATACCCAATTCACATCTGTTTAAAGGTTTAATTTTAAAAGTAACTTCAATTCTTTAAATCTGCAGCTTTCATTAATATCTTGAGAGCCTGCCAGAGACTGTTGCATGAGGTAAAGTTAGTTGTGGTTGTCCACAACAGAAACATTAGATGAAAAGCTTTAGTTTTCTTTAGAGAATGTGAATTGGCATGTTTGCACCCTCACAGCAGTGAAACAAACCTTTGCTAACTTAGAGGATACCATTATTTTATTATGTGAAATCTAAAAGAGTATTTCAATAGGTGAATATGTTTTAGCATAATGGTTAATCTCTACATAATATATTATCTAAACCAACTGTTTTTTTTATAATCCTCTTCTCCAAAGTACTGACTCCATTGCCTGTGTGCCTGGGGCAAGTAATAACTATAATTTGTCTTTGTGTTGCTGATAGAGTAATACATTTTTCATAAAAGATAAAGCTTTAAAATGGAATTCCAGTCATATTCTAACTAAGCCTAAACCTACTCTCACTCTAAGCCTTTTCTATCTACCTTACAAAAGAAAAGATGTCTATACTTGCCTATTCTAAGGCCACTCAGTCCAGTCCAGTGAAGACAGATTTCCAATAATAGCTGCAGTGTCTGGGTGATGTCACCCCATAGGCTTTACTAAGTGTCATCCGTTGTAAACTGTCCCTCCTCTACGCTCTAGCCAGTGCTAGGAGCCTATCATGTGATCAGACCGGAGTGGCTTCACAAAAGGCAAGTATAAGCATCTTTTTCTTATTTTAAAGGGTAGATAGAATGGGGGTGGAAGTAGGTTTATGCTTAGTTTAGGAAGGGAATTACACTTTAACGAAGCATTGATCTATTGTAGTTCAAGGAAACCCAGTATTTTGAAGGATGCCAGTTAACACTGTTGTGTATGAAATGTCAGTTTATTTTGTACTGGTTGATGAGACATAATGGTAAACATTTTGTATGTTACAATCAAAAAATAAAGAATACTATACTTGAAGTAATGCCATGATGGTAACTTTCCCAGTCACAGTGCAGCCTCAGTTTTCAATGAGGCTTGAAGAGGGGAATGAGTGAAGCAGCAGTAATGTGGTCTCAGGATGAAGAGGAGAATCTGGAGAGAGAATTGCTGGAAATCAGCCACATGCAATAGATACAGGTCTTTCAGTTTAGCCCCATATAATGTGCAAAGCTGGACAAACCTCAGGAACTGGCTAGTTGTGTATAAAGATACAGCTGTCAATGTATTCATCTGATTTCCCATAATTGACTGGGGCCTGAAGTCTGTAATGATTTGGTCACTCTGATCTACTCTAGCTATCAAGTAGAGATTATTATTGTTAATGTGTAGTCTAGCCAAAACTTTTTTTTTTTTTTTTTTTTTTCAGTTTTGGATGAACCCTGAAAGGGTTAGATCCCATGTCCAATTCACACTCAAGTTAGCCCTGACCATGTCCTGGGCCAAAAAGTGATAGTTTTACAGCTGTTGCCAACACAGGGAGTGAGGGCAAACCTTACAAGAATGACACCTCTTTCACAGACATCTAAGATGTAAATTCCGCTCCCTTTTATATAAATTTCTTGTTAAATCTTTAGGACAGGAAGTGAAGAGAAATATCTCCAACAGAACACAGAGTTTGGCAATGCATACATCTTAACAATCAACTGATAGAATTCTATTAAAACCGGTAAGGATTTTGTCACTCCCGGCACGAACATGAAGTTAGAAATGCTCGCACATAGAAGATTGCCTTGGGCCCATGAAAACAACAAAGATTTCCTACATTAAGTTGCTATTTGACTTTTTTGTTCAATAAATTCTCAAATAATTCAGGTAGGACTTTCATTTCTGAAATAGAAGATACTGAAAACCAGATTATCAGCTGAGTCACTAACCTATAATAAGTATACAGGACTGCCATACTGACCTCTCCTTCTGAAAATTCTAGTTACCTGGCTGTTGTGTGGATTACCTCACTCCAATACTTTCTGACTCTTTGATCTGGAATATGCTGATAAGGCCTTCTTTCTTTTCTATGTCTTTTTATCTGCATAGCTATCATGGGTCAGTGAAGTATAGAAGTTAGGGTGTCAAAATGGTGGCCAGGCAACTAACTTTCCAAAGGAAAGGACAGTATTGGCATGCTTTATTTTCTCTTTTATGAGTTTTCTTTGTTGAAATAATGTGTAAACAATTCAAGCAAGAAAAATGCAGCAACTACACATAGAAACCAGAGTCGATTATGGGAACAGTTAAATGAATATCTGATGAATTCTTTCCTCTGGAATAATGTGCATAGTGGGTATAATCCTATAATAAGTATGAAGACATTTCATTACCTCTGCACCCGCTGAACCAAGTGAGATATGAGCTGGTCTGTGATTCCAGGACTGGACTCCTCCGCTAAACTGAATGCATTCTCCAACTCCTGAACAGATCCAAATGCTCCAGCACAGCGCTGCTCCCTTAGCTGGGATGTGGAGAGACAGTCATCTGCTGTTATAATAGTTTTCTTTTTTATAAATCATTCAGGAAAAGTGACCAATATAAATGGGTTTAAACTGAATACAACGTTTATATCTAACTACAGGCAGAGTCTGCATGAATGCAGCACATCTTTGGGTCCCGTTAACTGAGTCTATTATAAATTGTGAGTAGAAACCAGGTAGGTTCAACCAATCAGTCCCTTCCTTCTATTTTCCAGTAGTGACTATATAGGAAACATATCCTTTCCATTTCTCCAGTTTAATCTTGTATTACACACTACATATCCTTCTTTCCATTGCTCCAGTTTAATCTAGTATTACACACTATATCTACCCACCAGACTACATTGGTGCTGTATAACATCAGGAAATGGTTTCCAATGTACAAGTCACTTATATTCAGCAATTTTATGTTATTTGGCATAGAATTTTCTCAGTCTCTTTTTGCTACATCGTAAACAATGTAAATACTGTATATGTTCCATGTGAAAGTACTGAAAAAAGGTTGAGAAACACTGGGCTAAACACTATTGTAAAGGCACCCTTTAACATTCTGCACATCTTGAGGCACCCATTACAAAATGTAAAAAAAACTAATAGTTTTACAGCACGTAGAACCATGTGGGACACCCAATGTCAGAGATGATTTATATTTTCCAAAGCAAATACACCTTTGCACACTAGTACTGAATAGTATTCCATTGTTTCTATTCTCCCTCAGTTTTTCTCTTTCACTCAGTTAATTTGACCTCAGTGCTGATGGAGAGGGGCTAGAAAGTTGTAATGGTGCACAAAGAATACCTGTGGTTTTGTGTAACTAAAACGCAGGCTTGATCCACCTGCTGGTTTGTATACCATTTTTAGACATTTTGCCAAGGCACCCTGGTTGAAAAAGGCTTGTTTAGCTAATGGTATTTTAATCCTATTTATTTTAAACCGCTTTCCAGTCACCGTATAGTAGACATACTGTTACAGGGTGGCAGAAGTGCGCAAAATAACGTATATAAACGTGATTTTGCATTTCGGGGGGGGGTGCGTGCACACCCTATTCGTGGCCTCAGCTGTCAGAGGATCCCAGCCGTCACCCGGTATTACCGACGGGGGAGAGAACGGTATGTAAACATTACAGTTCTCTCCCGTCAGCTCCTGCACACTGCTTTGTATGATTCTGTATAGCAAAGCCATACAAAGCAGTGTGCGTACAGTGTAAACGACAGTTAACCCCTTCCTGCCCAGTGCCATTAGTACAGCGTCAGTGCTTTTTTATTTTAAGCACTGATCACTGTATTGGCGTCACGGGGGATGTCAGTGACACCAAGTCAGTTCCCCCCAGTGTCAGAATGCCTCCCGCAGTCCTGCTACAAGTCGCTGATCGCCGCCATTACTAGTGGGGAAAAAAAAAAAAAATCCAGTGTATAGATACTGTCATTTGTAAACGCTATGACTTTCACGTAAACCAATTCATTTACACGTACTGGGAATTTTTTTTTAGAAAAGACATGTAGTAGAATACATGTTGACCTAAATTTATGATGACATTTGATTTTTTTTTTTTTAAATTTTCTGGACGTGTTTAACAACAAAGTCAAAATATTGTGGGGGTTTTTTCCTCAAAATTGTCAGTTTTTTTTTTTTTTTTTTTTTAATAGCGTAAAACCTGCACAAGCGATCAAATACCACCGCAAGAAAGCACTATTCGTGGGAAAAAAAGGATGTAAATTTAATTTGGGTGCAGCATCCCATGACCCCGCAATTGTCAGTTAAACTAACGCAGCGCCGTAATGCAAAAAATGGCCAGGTCAGGAAGGGGGGTAAATCCTCTGAAGGGCAAGTGGGTTAAAGCTTGTGAGTTTATAAACTGACTCTATACAATGTCAGCCTGCTGAAAACATGGTGCTTTTTTAATAAACCTTACCCTTGCTGGCTGTAAATGGTAATATGGATTATCCCTATTCAATAATTTACATTTCTTTGTATCAGTTCTGAACATAATAAATATACATATACAAAACAATATACATTTTCTTTAAACATCTGTTTCTAACCACTTGGGTCCCAGGTGCCATTTCAAAACCGCACGAGAGAACTGTTTTTGGTCTAGGTGCAGGCTAGAACCGCTGTCTGTCAAAGACAGATGCTATTTAGCACTATACATAGGAACTGAAATAACAAGCTCCTGAGCTTCTAATATTATTGCACATTATTCCATAAGTGCGCTTATAGCAGATCACTGCAAACACAATAGTTCCACGTTGCGTTCATTAACTCCTTCCCTACCATGCTATTGCCAAAACACGGCTACAACGCGGTTGTCTAGTTCTGGGAGGACATCCATGGATGTCATTCCAGAACACGCCCCCAGCGATCGCTGTGTCCTATGGACACAGCTGATCACGTGATATGGTAAACAGCCAATCACAGCGGCCTTTTATGTGATCAGCTGTGTCCAATGACGCAGCAGATCACCGGGTACATACAGTTGCCGGTTAGCAGCTGCACTTTCCTCGCGCTGTCACAGCGTGAGGAAAGTACTGCCAACAACCGGCAATTGTCAGAGAAGTGATCGGCGCTGATGATGAGTGCCCAGCAGTGCTGCCTATCAGTGCAGCCTCATCAAAGCACATCAGTAAAGGAGAAAAATTACCTGTTTGCAAAAAAAAAAAAAAAAAAAGTTGTTTGATTTTGATTATAAAATTTTGCATTTTTTCTGTTTATAGCGCACAAAATAAAACACCCAGTGGAGATTAATTACTACCAAAAGAAAGCTCTAATTGTGTGAAAAGAATTATAAAAATTTCATATGGGTACAGTGTTGTGTGACAGTGCTGAAAATTGGCCTGGGCAGGAAGGGGGTATAAGTGCCCAGTAGGCAAGTGGTTAAAGCAGTGATGGCACTTCCTGTTATGGAGACTAGGGCAGTGCTGTTCTCAAGGCATGATATGTTGCTGAAGAATTGCATGGGGTCTCCACTAACCTTTTCCAAACTCCCCTCCTTCCCACAGTGAAAAGAAGAAGAAAAAAAAAAAAAAAAAAGATACTTTGGATAGACTATAAATGCTAGTATAAGGTATAGGGAACCTAGACACCTCTGAAACAGAAAACAATTCTATGGGGATTAAGGAGAAAAAGGGACTCAAGTGGCTAAAAACACTATCGGGCATGGAGATTCCAGAAAAGGATTAAGTCAAAACATTTTCATCACTTTTACCCTTGAGGCTAGCAAAAGACTGCTCCAACTTAGGGCAACGCACCATACCAGTAAGTGTATACTGCTAATACTTAAGAACTTACCTCCTGAAACACAGGAGTCACCAGGGCAGATAAACAGTGCGACCGAGGCAGGCGCTTTATTGCCTCTGTTGGCTGCTAGAAGAAACATGGTATTAGAATAAAAGATGTAGACATTTAAATTACCAAGTTAAATAATGCACATTTATGCCTATGCTCCTCTTATTCTAATGGGGAACAATCTCCTATCCAATATTTCCCAGTGTTATCTGGCTGTGTTTGGCTAAAAGGTGCCTTTAACTATCTATCAGATGTGTCCTGACTCTTAAAAGAGAAGTTTGGGGGTAAAAAAAAAAAAAAAAAGAAGAAAAAGTACACTCACCTAGGTGAATGCAGCATTGATTCTTCTGTCTCTGCACCGAGTAATCATACTGCTGACCACTCAGTTCTCCCCTCTGGCCAGAGCACAGAATGGTGAATATTAGTCTCTGGCTCTCTGTTCTTTCCCTCCAGCGCTCACTGGAGCACTGGGCTGTGGAGGGGGTGGAATTGGCTAGCTCAGTCTCTCAGAGGTGCAGCTGACCCAGCTGCCAGTCCAGGTAGATCCTGACTGTAAAGTCAAGATCTTTCCTCAGCCTGGACCAGCTGATGGCTGAAAATGGGTCAGAGGAGTGTAGGACAAACTGCACTTCTGTGATTCATAGGCGAAGTATAGCACAAAATAAAGGTTTGACCCTACATTAAGATTCTTCATACACTTCTACTGGAAATCATCTCAATGACACACAAACATATGTTGACCTGGAAGAGGAAGTGTCTGGCACAGAGTTTCTACATGGATTAATCTCTGAACTGAAGGCAGATATGTAAAGAAAAAGTCTGCAGCACATATTACTTTGGAAAGCACTGCAAATGGCTGCTCTGTCAAGCTCAATTTATATAGCATTCCAAGCTAGTTTTGGGGGGATTCCTAGATTTGCAAAAGAACAATGGCAATATCTGACACTTGTGGTCAAGCAAAAAGGCTTGCAAACATTTGGAGTTTCAACTTTACAACTTTTTTTGAGCACAACCAATGTAGGCAATTACCTGCTGGTATCCCCACTGCAATCTGCTCATGGAGGAGGGGCGCATAGTTTCTGGAAATGACCAGTGAGGAGTCTGATTCTGATTCCTCTCATCTTCATTATCTCTGGTCACAATAGCAAGGCACGGTCAGTCACTGCATAATTTATAATCAATAAGACCAAAGAAAGTTTCCACACTATGTCACAGAACAGGAAGCTTGTGTACTCACATGTCAGACTCAACCGAACTGGAGTCATCACGGTGACCCTGAGCTTTCCATCGCTTGTATCTTTCAACCAGTTCCATAAGGAAAGAGGTTTTTCTTGGTGTATCGTAGAATAAACCGATGTTTTAGCAGCTCCCGTGCTGTAGGCCTCTATTACACAAGACCAAGGCATCATTCACAATATGAAAACAAATACATCTTGCCCAAACAAATATGGAACAGTACCTAAGCTGTTAGCATAATTTATCATGAAGAACTTACGTGCCTGAAGAATTGATTATTGAACATTATTTACCTGCATAACGATATAGTTTAAGAGAGTGCAGATGCTTCCTGACGACTCCTAGCTGGGCTGAGCTCTGAGCAAGCCGAGGAGTGTTCCGACCAGTAATTCTGATGTTGCAAACAGCAGCTGCATTTGATTTAAAGACCTCAGTTTTTTGACACTCTACTCTAGTAGTGTGTATATGGAATATGGCACATGTCCTGGACACCAATTGAAGGAGACTGCCATGCTACTCATCAATAGGGATGGTCAGGGCCACTAACTGAGGTTGGTTCAGGCAGTCCCCATATACCTGGCCCTGGCAGGGACTGCCTCTGAAGAATGATGTGACAAGCTGTAGACAGTCTGAAACAGGAGCTACAGAGGATGGCTGTCTGTGACAGCTCAGTTATGTGACTGGAGCTGAACTGAGACTGTACCATTTGACCTACTGCTGTTAACTGCAGAGTGTTACCTCTGCTAGAGAACAGATAGAACAGGCAGAACCTAGATAATTGAGGCTTCTATTGTAAAGGGGACTACTGATGTGAAAGCGGGGTATCTGATGTGAAGGAAGGGACACGAATACATTGGGGGGATTCTGATGAGAAGGAGACTTTGAAAGAGGGACTAAAATATATTTCCCTCTCCCCACTTCAGAACTGCCCTCCACATCCTCATGTACCTCTGGCCCAGATCCTTTTCCAAGCTTGGTATTTAGAGTGGAACAGTAATTTCTGTGCAGACCCAGTGCATTGCTCCCTGTGCAAATCCAAAACATATTTTTTTGTAGTAACAATGGCCTTTAAGATTGTCTTTTCAATGTTGGGCATCCCTAATATGGGTTTATACTGAGAAGATATGTTGTATAATATTCAGATCACCCCCATAAACAAGTGTTTTTTTTTATTCACTGAAAGGGATATTGTTTTTCTGAAACTTTATTGGGTTGATTCCATAGCCGTTTATTTAAAATTGTTAATGGAGTTCTCTTTAAAGCACAAATCCAGGTAGAAGTACCTGACGTAATGCTATTATATCTTACCAGAGGTAATGCTACTATATGGCCCTTTGCCTCAAAAGCAACCCTCATGGGTATAGGGGAGCATGTGCCCTCCCCCATGACAGTGCTTGGGCCTGAGCACTCAGTTACCAGACTGAACATTGTCACGTGTGTGTATTGTAGCTATCAGCAATTCCGAGCATTGCCATGTCAAACATATTTGATGGTACTGTACTCCTTTATGTGTTGTCAATAGTATACTGAAGCATAAACAGTTTAGAGACAGTTCCACAACAGGAAAGTGACTCCTTCATTAATGTCCTATTAGAGGAGGTGTAGACACAAACTGTAGATGGGAAACATTGGCATCTTACAATGTAATTTTATTGGAAATAAGATTTAAACTTTTCAGTAGAGTTGGGAGTATTTATACAGAAAAATAGTGCTTTTGGCCTTTTTTTTCCCAAACTGTCAGGAGAGGGGTGTCATTAAGAAAAAAAAAAAGTTGAAGTTATACACAGAAAGATACTCACTAATCGAGGGTCTTTGTTCAGGCAGGCATCTACAAAATCTTTAAATGGTTTGCTGTGCTGTCCCTGCAGGGCTGGAGGGTTGTTTTTGGGGATGAGGAACAAAACTCTCATAGGATGTAGGTCTGAGTAAGGGGGTTCTCCCTTTGCCAACTCAATAGCTGTGATCCCCAAGGACCAAATATCAGCCTAGAAGAAAAAACACATCTGAGTTTATGGATGAATAGATGGCAAAATCCAGCAAACATTCTCATGATTTCCAACCTTGAAATCATAGGCAGACTGCTTGATGACCTCTGGCGCCATCCAGAAAGGGGTTCCCACAAATGTGTTCCTCTTGATCTGGGTGTCTGTCAGTTGGCCTGCTACCCCAAAATCTGCCAGTTTAACGTCTCCCTGCTCAGACAGCAGTACATTTGCAGCTAAAATGCAAAGATGTATTTAGAAATAATGCCAATACATATCCTTATGTACCATATAAAAATAATCATCAAAATCTGCCTGGATAAAAATAAATAACATGTTTTCAAAGGGTGCATAGTAAAGAACTGAATAAAAATGAAAAGGAGAGTAAAATAATAACTGCAGCACCACTCCCCTGCTCTTTGCACATCTCAGAATAAAAAAAGACACCAATTTCCTTGCTCTCCATAAATAATCCTCCCACATCCACTACTTAATAGCCCTGTAATTTATTTTTCATGAAATTGTATGTACTGTATTTTTCTGCCTTTTTGTAATTACATCCATGAGCTCCCAAACCTCCCCATTTCCTTCTCACTCTTGTTTGTTTAGAATAAACAGTGCACTGCTCTATGAACACTACAAATCCCATACTGTAGTCCATCTCAGGAGCGAGCAAGAGAGGGTGGCTATGTTCGTGCATACAGTAGCGACCATGGAGAAATGAACGCAACAAAGCTCTAACAGGAAGTCAGATTACAACAGCAAAAACAAACCCAAACATACTTGCATAGAAAAATATCCTTAATTTTTTACTGCTAGTGCGCCACACAGTAATCACACTATCACTTGAACAATGCCGATCACAAAAAGAGGGTACAAGCTAATGAGTGGCTCTGTACCACATAACCACTATGGCTAATCACAGCATCACACAATTTAAACATTGGCTGTAGTTAGCAACATCTGTCACTGATTAGTGTGTGAAAGGAAAGAAAGCTTCCTGATCACACCCAGTACACAATATAAACTAGTCCCAGTTATCCAGTACCAGTGCCCATTCACCCCTCTATAGTATATGTCTGCTTCCTCCTATCTCTGAGCTGTATATTAACCTCTCATCTCCCTTATCCTACACATCTGTACAATAACCCCTTCATCTCCATCCTATCACTGTATAGGACCTGTCCCATCCATCCCTTCCTCCCTCTATGTATGACCTTTACATTAACCACTTCAAGTCTGGACACTTTTACCCCCTTCCTGTCTGGACACTTTTACCCCCTTCCTGTCCAGACCAATTTTCAGCTTTCAGTGCTATCACACTTTGAATGACAATTGCGTGGTCATGCAACACTGTACCCATATCAATTTTTAGCATTTATTTTGAGACAGATAAAACTTTATTTTGGTGGTATTTATTCACCACTGAGATTTTAATTTTATTTGCTATGTAAAGTCCAAACATTTTGCAAATAAATCTTTCTTCATAAATCTTGGCCAACATTTATTCAGTTATCTTTTTAGTAAAAAAAAACCCAGATTAGTTTATAACCAAATAATTATCAAAAAATCTTTTTAATTTTTTTATATTATTGGTTTTTTTTTTAACATACTGTCACCCTAGCAGTACAGTGTCACCACAGTGACACTGTTCTACTTGTGGGGAGTGATGAAGATTTTTTTTTTTTCTTTTTTACATGGATTGCTTTTACACCCATAAAGGCTGTAAAAGCAATAATTTCTCCTTCTCTCTGGCTGCATTCTTGCAGCCATTGAGAAATACTGTGCGAGCTGTGACTGGTCACAGCTTGTCACATGGTACAAGGCTGTTGTGAATAGCTTTGTACCATGTGATCTCTGTGATCATTCACAGATTTCACACGTAGTAAGCAATGATGTCAGAATTGACATCTTGCTTACTACCATTCATGTGATCACTGATTGGCCAGCGGATCGCGGTGCTGCGTGCTCCCAGGGAGCGCGCACAAGCAGGGAAGTGGGGAGGACATTTATAAACGGCCACCCGCCCCTGCACTGCTCCCGTCCGGCCGTTTATATACATGGGCCGGACGGGAAGTGGTTAAATGACTAGTGCACTATAACCAAGTTCCATGTTTTAACCTCTTTTAATACTGTAATTTTTCCTCATTTTCAATAAACTACGGCAAAAAAAAATCTGATCACCTTGGTGTACTTTGAAAAACTATGGTCATTTCACAGATTTGCATACTGTCTGTTTTAAAAAAAAGTAAAACATTTGTCTTTTTTTTCTTTTATACAGTAAATTCCAGAAGTTATTAAATACCACCATCTGTAAAAAAAAAAAAAAATACATATATATAATTCATTTGGGTACACTATTGCATGATCGACTGACAAACTATCACAGTGCTGCAAACTGAAAAATGGCCTGGACAGGAAGGGGGTTTAAACAATTACTAAACCCTGGACCCTGCATTCACCAAATCTGGTCTCCCACAGTAGACAGAACATGGAAGTGCAATTATTTTACTATAAATAAACTGCTAAATACCCTTTCTCATCAGCAGTTAGAGCAGTCTTGGGACTTCTATCAGTGTCCAGCACTGCACTGGTTAAAGCTTGTAGGAGGAGTTTTCATTCTCCTCTCACTGTCCTATAAGACTGCGGGACCTCTGACCCCCTGTCTTGACAGTGCCGATTGGCCCTGTGCTGATAATATGCACTCTCCCATGAAAAAAAAAAAAAAAACAAACACTCTCTAGCAATACACACCAAACCCAGCTTGTGCAGCTTGCCCCCAAGGCTCTGTTATACGAGGAGATGAGTCGGGGACTAAGGGAAAAGGGGAGGATCAGCCATCCTTTTTACACAAAGCAGAGGATTAACCCCTTACGTTCCACAGTGAATATAACATGTAAGCTTTACTGCATATACAGATTGATTTTACTGTTGTGGGTTTAGTAACACTTTAACATGCTGGTCGTCATGTGGTTAATTTAGGTACTCAAAACTTACAAGGCAACCCTATGCCCCACCTTTGATGTCTCTGTGGATCTTCCTCTCGGAGTGCAAATAATCTAGGCCTTTCAGGATTTCCCGTAATATTGTGGCAATATAGGACTCTTCCAGTGGCCCAGGCTTCAGCTGAAGTGTGGAAAGGTACAAAGTGGTCAGAGGTCACAAAAACCATAATAAAATGCAAGGGTGCATGGAGAGACATAACACTGCAATAAAGCCAACATTACATTTTTACTTAATGCCATTCATCAGGCGTTAGTGTTATTTGATAAATGACGGCTAAAATATCTTTAATAGCTTTTCGAACGCAAACTGTTAGCAGTAGGGCCCTCAATTCATTCTGTATAGTGCTGTGCAAACTATTGGCCCTATATACAGTTAGGTCCATATATATTTGGACACAGGCAATTTTAGTTTTTTTCAGGTATTTACCAAAACATATTAAAAGAAAAAAGGGGGGGATGGCTACTCTTAAGTAATTCCTAACCCCTTCCTCCAATTTGGATGTACATACCCTCAAATTAATCCTGAGAGTGTTCGCCTTCAGTCCATATCCATTATATAACTATAGCTTAAATGTTTTGGTAAATACCTGAAAAAAACTAAAAATGTGCCTGTGTCCAAATATATATGGACCTAACTGTAAATCCTATTAATATTATTTGCTATGGGCAATACCTTTTTGTTTTTATATATTCCGTATATATCTGTATAACAAATTTATGCTATGCTAACTCTTGCAGGTATTTTCATTATAAAAAGCTTACCAAATCTAGTGCAGATCCTCCACCCAGATACTCCATTATGATCCACAGCTTAGATCCCTGAATTTGAAAAACAAACACAATGCAAAAATATTATTTAATAAATGCCATAAAAAACATGAACACTATAAAGTATAAAGTAAACCTGTTACGTTAAACATTTATTCAGTCATTGTGGACTTCCTTTTAAAATTCTAGTTGTCTGGATGCCACGCCGATCATTGTGCTTCAATACATGAGTCAATGACCCCAAAAGATGCATATCAGGACTTTCCTGACCTGAATTCTTGTTCTGTCAGTCATTTAAAACAGAAGCATAGTTTCAGAAAAGGAACCAAAGATGCAACATGCAGGAGTTTTGGTGTGCTTTCTGAAACCGCACCAAAACCACAGGACCTCATAGAAGTCAATGGGAAAGCGCAGCTAACCCGCACAAAAACCACAACAGCCCAGAGGGACTGCACTGGGGAAATGTGAAGCAACCCCAAAGGATCGAGAATCGTCACACAAAATTTGTGTATTTATCCAATCATGTGAAAAGCAAATGCCTGTTAAATTAGAATATATGCAAATGATCTTCACATGATTAGAATTAAACTAAAGTGAATATTCACATAATTTGAGTGAAGATTCTCAAATCCTGTAGTAAATCAGCCTAATTACAAAAAAATTCACATGCTTTACAAATTACAAGCTGTAGACATTTTGAATTTGCTGCTGCCAATTTGGAATTTTTATGAACAGAAAGAGAAAGGCAAATAATGTCTAGACTACCAAAGGTTGCAACCATCTGGAAAATCAGTACTATGCTAAGTAACAATCCACAAAGTTGGAGTCCAGCCAAAACTTTTTTGTAATATGGTTTTGGACAGAGAGGGGAAGGACTATGGGGTCAGGTCATTAAGAGATAAACAACGCATGAAATTTAGCATTAAAATAACTTATGCAGTATTTATCTCAATAGTAGTCGATTCACTGAAAAACATTCATTACTTAAGAAATGTGTTACATTTTTGTTTGTGATATTTAGAACTTAAATCTAGTAATTTTTTCATTGTTCTATTGATTTTTTTTTTTTACAGGCTAACACTGCACCAAAAGAAGATTGTTCTGCGAATGAAGGCACATTGTGAAACTATGAAAACATCCTTCGGGTGCCTTCATTTACAGGACATCGCATTCTAGTGTGATGTTACAATTTATTTGGCTTCCCTAGCACAGGGCTAGTTCACACCAGATGCAGTCCAATGTGTTTTCATTCTGCATCAAAACACATGTACAGTGTTTATCATGGATTCCAATAGCCCTAGTTCACACCAGTGCAGACAAAAAAAAAAAACAAGTAGAAAATTGACAGGGCTTTTTTTTTGAATGGAAAGAAGCTAAAACACAAAAAAAATGCACTGTTCTCAATTGAGATGAAAAAAAGAGGGAAAAAAATGCACCAGAATGCATCAAAAATGCTCAAACAGAAACACATTCGGAAAGTAGAAATTTTACTGTCAAGCAGCCATCAGGGAAGAACATTTCTACACTGATCCATTGTATACTTTCAACTTATTGGTCAGTGCAGAGTTTTCCTCGTTGTTACTTTGTACATTCCTAGAATATCAACTGCCTGTATCATAAGATAAATAACAAATGTTTGCTTTTTTCAGTGAATTGACTGTAATGACTTATCTCATTTCGGAGGTCTTTACCTCACATATTTAACAAATTTGCACTATTTACCTCACATTTGATATTTTACTTTGGTGAATTGACTATTTTATTATTGTATGCAATATTTCCCCCCCAAAACCCCCCCTACATATATCGCATGAGAATGGTTACAGAATTGATCCCTAGATCATGTGTGAATGCAGAACATTGCTGTAAACTGACCTTCCTGTGTTCCTTCTCCACATTCCAGTGCATTCTCTACCTAAGCAAGACCCATTAGCCGCCTGTGACATGGTCATTGGCTCCCTTGTTTTTCCCTGACCAAAATCTCGTCCTCTACCTTCATCCATATTTGTCTACCTGACAAGCACTAAGGTACGTTTCACACAGGTGACAACTCAACTGAATCCTAAAACAGCAGCCACACAGTGTAGTACACCTGCCCTGGCAAATATAACTTGGCTTGCAGTTTGACAAGTGGAACAGCCTGTCAAACTCACTCATTGATGACAACAGGACTGCGCCAAAACCACAAGTCAAACTCTTGGAAGTTTTAGTGCAGTATTTTAATACAAAATCTCCCTTGGGTTTTAGAAAAGATAAAAGCCCACAAAAACAAATTAACAAGGCAGCAGTATTGCCTCCTGGATGCACATGGCAGCCGCTGTTCTACTGCTCTCTGATAAGCAATCCACCACAGGTTATCAGAGAGCAGTAAAGACTGGCACTCATTGGAAAAAGCACCGAAAGGTGCCTCAAGAAATAATAAACATCCTGGCAACAAAGTATATTCATCTGTAAATATGGTAAGAATATACACATTCCACCTAAGATTTTATTTTCTTAACCACCTCAGTATCTACAAAAACTGAAAAAAAGCACAATGAAGAGGAGAATATGTATTTCTGGAGTGTCTTCAGCACAGCTGAGGTCACAGGCACAATGTGAAGGGCCAATCAGAGTGGCACTGTGCCCTGTGATCGCTGCAAACCAATCACAGCTATCACAAGAGTAAACACTGTTCAGCCCATTCACAACAGAGTAAGCTCCCCTTCCATTATTGGTGATAGGCTGAATGTTTGCAATCTGATCCTCATCCAAGTCATTCAGTTAAATGAAAGAAGTAAGGTCTAAAAGCGAGTACTTTAGATTCATATTTTCTGCAGGATCTTCAGCCAGCAAGAACCTGCATTCATGTATTAAAATATGCCTGTGTGAAAGAACCCTAAAAGTCCATCTTGTGGCAAGAGTACAGTTCCTTTAGTGGGTGCACATGGTGAAGTGGGGAACACCTCTGAGTACTGCAGTTATAGAAAGGATCTCCTCGCAACTGATATGATTGACAGGTTAGGAAATTACCTTTAGATAGGAGCCATAGTAGCGAGTGATGTAAGGGCTGTCACACTGGCTCAGAACAGTGATCTCTTGTTGAATGTCTTCAATCTCATCCTCTGCCTCTTCTAAATCTATGATTTTAATTGCCACCACTTCTTTGCTGCGGTTATCTATGCCCTTGTACACTTCTCCAAATGAACCCTTCCCAATCCGCTCCAACTTCGTAAACAGGCGTTCTGGATCCATCCTGGATCCCTAAAGATGAAAAATAAGAGCAGACATAATAAAAGAAATTAGAAAAAAAAAACCTATAAAACATTGATAGCTCAAAGCTAGTTTTGTAGTCCATTTTGTCAGTTTAAAACAAGAAATTTGGGGTATAAAAAAAATAAAAAAACCTATATATTCATCTCTATGTCCCATGTTGGCTCTAAAGACCAAGAACAGAGCGATCACATCAGCACTGTTCTTGGTCTACTCTGAGTGGAGAGCGGTGACTGTCAGTCACCACTCTCCACTATGCTCCTCCAATGCTCACTGGAGCACCAAGATGGGGAGGTGGGTTGGTGCAGCTGGCTTCAGCTCTTAGCTCCATGTTGAAAGGGAGAGCCAGCTGTCAATCAGAGTCTGGAGCGACCGGCCTTGCATGTCAGCTGACAGTGGACTATAACCTGCCGATTTTGGGTCACAGGAGAGCAAAAGTAAGCACACTCCTGTGACCCACAAGTCACACAGTGACTGGCTCTACTTCTCTTTTAAGATCATTTTAGTTGCATAGGTTATTATTGCAGAATGTAACCATTTTAAATTAAAGCTGATCTCCAGGCATATGCAGCAGGTAAAATATGTATTGAACGTGTCACCATTTTTCGAAATATATTTCGAAAAGGTGCTACTGACAACAATTTTTCACCACGTGTCAGTAACAACCCATGTGATCCATACATATAAAGAAACCAAAACAAATATGTTTAGAAATGAAGTTATGTGTAATAAAATGGAATGACACAGGGAAAAGTATTGAACATGGTAACTGAAATTTATTTAATACTCTGTAAAAAATCCTTTGTTGGTAATGACAGCTTCAAGATGTCTCCTGTATGGAGAAACTAGTCGCATGCATTGCTCAGGTGTGATTTTGTCCCATTCTTCCACACAAACAAATCTTGAAGGTTTTGTGGGCCTCTATGAATTCTGATCTTTAGTTCTTTCCATAGATTTTCTGTTGGATTCAATTCAGGTAATTGAGTGGCCATTCTAGCAGCTTTATTTCTTTCTTTGAAACTAATTGAGAGTTTCTTTGGCTTAGTGTTTGGGATCATTGTCTTGCTGAAAAGTCCATCCTCATTTTATCTGCTTCATCCTGGTAGATGGCAGCATATTTTTATCAAGAATGTCTTGGTACATTTTTCCATTCATCTTTCCTTCAATTAAATGAAGTTTGCCAGTACCGTATGCTGAAAAACAGCTCCACACCATGATGTTTCCACCTCCTTGCTTCACTGTTGGTATGGGGTGATGTGCAGTGCTATTTGACCTCTAAGCACGGTGTGTATTATGGCATCCAAAGAGTACAATTTTGGTTCTGGCCGGACTATATTCTCCCAGTATTTCACAGTCTTGTCTAAATGTTCTGCAGCAAACTTTAAATAAGCTTCAACATGCTTTTTCTTCAGCAATGGAGTCTTCCATGGTGAGCGTGCATACAGGCCATGGCGGTTGAGTGCATTACTTCTTGTTTTCTTTGTAACAATTGTACCTGCTAATTCCAGGTCTTTCTGAAGCTCTCCACAAGTGTTCCTTGGCTCTTGGACAACTCTTCTGATAAGTATTTTCACTTCTCTGTCAGAAATCTTGTGAGAAGCATCTGGCCGTGGCCGGTTTATGGGGAAATGATGTCCTTTCCACTTCCAGATTATAGCCCCTTTCCAGTGTTCACTGGAACATTCAGAAGTTTAGAAATTGTTCTGTAACCAATGCTATCAGTATGTTTTCCAACAATAAGGTTGCAAAGATCTTGAGAGAGCTCTTTGTTTTTACCCATCAAGAGATGTGACACCTTGGTAATGAGACACCTTTTTATAGTTGAAACTGAACCAGCTGCGTTTAATTTGTACTGACTAGGGGCAGGATTGCTTTCTAATTACTGATAGATTTCAGCTGATGTCTTGGCTTTCCATGCCTTTTTGCACCTCCCTTTCTTCAAGCGTTCAGTACTTTTATCCCTGTGTCATTCCATTTAGAACACATAACTTAATTTCTGAACTTATTTATTTTGGTTTCTTTGCATGTATGGATTGCATGGGTCGTTACCAACATGTGGAGAAAATGTTATGTCAACAGCAGCTTTAGGGCTCATGTACACAGGGTGTTTGAAAAACTTTTCTGACCGCTGGAAACTGACTGCTAGAAAACGTAGGTTAAAAACATCAGTTTAGCAATGTTTACCTACCATGTTTATGTGCGTTTAGAAGTGTTTTTAAAAGATAATCTCAGGAGACCCCCCCAAATGCCCAGAATGCACTGCAAAATAGTAAATTAACTATTTCAGACATTTTGTGAGAAATGGAGAGAACAGAAGCAGAGAGAGCAGTATGTTTTAAGATGACTTGTCTTTTCTGGTTGTATTCACTATGAATCCCATCATGAGAATAATGCGGCACGTTCCACCATTTTTGTCTGCACGAGAAACCTGGAACTGACTGTGCTGGTGTACTGGGTCCATCTGAATACATGGAAAATGCTGTGCATGCATTTTTGTTGAAGAAAAAAAAAAAGACACTGGACAGCATCTGGATGTGGACCAGCCCAAAAATACGTCTAAACACAAACACGCATAAACATGTTTACACACGGTTACAAGCGTTTGGCGTTTGAAACGCTGGTAAACTCTTCTCCTGATCGTGATTTTTGTGCTTTCAAAAAAAAAAAAAAAAAAAATGCCTGTAACCTCAACTGCCTGTAAACGACTATGTGTACATGAACACATAGGAGAACATAAAAGGAGAGTTCAGGGACTGCTGAAAAAAAACGCACAACTACTCCTAAACGTCAGTTTAGCAGCTGCAGTATACATGAGCCCATAGAAATATATTTACTGAGAAAAATGGTGAAGTATTCAATACTTATTTAACCCGCTTTATACTGTAAAAAATACAAATTAATGCAGTTCACTATTCATTATGCATCTTAAAGAAGCCGAAAGATGAGTCTTTTTTTGTTCAACCAGCAGAATGAATGAAGAAAAATGATTTGATTCCCGTCCACACATTTTGATAGATTGTATTCTGACGGCAGGGACACTTCCCTGCTGTCAGAATACATTGATCAGTGCTGCCAACTATAGCTTTCAGCTCTGATCAAGCAAGGAAAATCCAACAGGTTGGTTGTACAGAAGTCGATCGATAGAACAACTTCTGTATAACCAGCTTGCCCATACATGGATTGAAATTCAGCCAGTTCCTAGTGAACTGCCTGAATTTTGATTCATGTATGGCTGGCTAAATTATACTAACCTCCTGCAGTCCCTGTACAGCAGAGCTTAGCCTTGGGGAGGGGGATACACCACAAAGAACCAATCAGTTGTGCTGCAGCACATGAAACTGACAGAAAGAGATGCAGAGTGACAGAGAGATGATCTTATCACTCTCCTGCTTCATATTTCATTGCCCAGTCACTTGCCAGGGGAGAACAAGACCTGTGAGTGTTACCTAACTGCAGCAGAGAAAAATCAGATCTTCTCTGCCAGACAGTACACTTGATTCATAGCAAAGCTGTGCAAATCTTAGGACTGGATGGACATAATCACAAATCCTGTGCAAGGTAAAAAAAATCTCCCTCATATGCTTTTCATCTGGGTATTTACAGTGTCTTGAGAAAGTATTCATACCCCTTGAAATTTTCCATATTTTGTCATGTTACAGACAAAAATTTAAATGTATTTTACTGGGATCTTATGTGATAGACCAACACAAAGTGGCACATAATTGTAAAGTGGAAGGAAAATGATAAATGGTTTTCAACATTTTTTACAAATAAATATCTGAAAAGTGTGGCATACATTTGTATTCAGTCCCTTTACTCTGATACCCCTAACTAAAATCTAGTCGAAACAATTGCATTCAGAAGTCACCTAATTAGTAAATAGAGTCCACCTGTGTGTAAATTAATCTCAGTATAAATATAACTGTTCTGTGAAGCCTTCAGAGGTTTGTTAGAGAACATTAGTGAACAAACAGCATCATGAAGGCCAAGGAACACCCCAGACAGGTCAGGGAAAAACTTGTGGAGACATTTAAAGCAGGGTTAGGTTATAAAAAATTATGCCAAGCTTTGAACATCTCACGGAGCACTGTTCAATCCATCGTTCCAAAATGGAAAGAGTATGGCACAACTGCAATTCTACCAAGATATGGCCGTCCACCTAAACTGGCAGGCTGGGCAAGGGGAGCATTAACCGTTTCAATACCGTGCAATTTTACACCTTCCTGCCCAGGCCATTTTTCAGGTTTCAGCGCTCTCACACTTTGAATGACAATTGCACGGTCATACAACACTGTACCCAAACTAAAATTTTATCATTTTCTTCACACAACTAGAGCTTTCTTTTGGTGGTATTTAATCACCGCTGGGGTTTTTATTTTTTGCTAAATTAACAAAAAAATACCAAAAATTTTGAAAAAAAAACACATTTTTCTTTGTTTCTGTTATAAAAGTTTACAAATAAATAATTGCTCTTCATAAATTTAGGCCGAGATGTATTCTGCTACATGTCTTTGGTGAAAATAACCCAAATTAGGATGTATTTTTTAGTTTGTAGGAAAGTTATAGAGTTCACAAACTATGGTATAGATCTGAATATTGATCAATCCTGAAGTACTGACAGCCAATCTAATATCTTGAGGTCCAAGAATGTCAGAACAGTACAGATATCCCCCAAATGACCCCTTTTTGCAGAGTAGACAGTCCGACGTACTTCATAAGAGGCATGGCGAGTTTTTTGAAGTTGTATTTTTTTGTCATAATTTTTCGGAAAATGAAAAAATTAAAAAAATTATTTTCACTATTTTTTTTTTTTACATATTGTCACCAGTGCAGTACAGCGTCATCATATAACTGGCATGGCGGTGAACAGCGACACTGACTGGTGACAGTATGAAAAAAAAATATATATATTTTTTTATTATATTTAATTTTTTATTACATTTTTTTTTATTTTTTTAAGATTTTTTTTTCATATTTTACTATGACCAAAATA